TCTAAAATTCAGTAGAAGTGATCTTTCTCATGAAAATTTAAAGAAGACATGTTTGTTATCCTCAACGTATTTTTAGGGTAATGCAATTTATCAAGGTGAAAAATGTATATCTACTATTATAATAAAGATCAGCTAACTTAAGTTACACTAGCAGCTACCCCAAATGAAGGTTTTCTCTTAAATTATGATGAAAGAATCCTAGTCACTTATATTCTACTAAAATCTCAGTATTTGCAGTTTTATGCTGATTTGTATCCAATTTGAGTAGAAAATGGATATGAGTGTTTATCTTCCATAATAGCTTGCCACAAGCCTACTACTTAAATCATGTAGCATATGGAAAATGTGTTTAGCTCCTTGTAGAATTTCACAAACCAAAAAAAGATCCATTTCTATTCACACGGCTTGTTTACAGTCATTATAAAAGCATGCTACTGTGTTGCTTACTAGTTAAGAGAAGCAAATGTTGGCATACTGCAGACTGCATTGCATTGGTCTTTAAGAAATATATATATTGCTTTTCAGTTTAAGGAAATAATAATAATCATTGTATTTCTTGTGCTTTAGACCTGAACATTCTTTTTAAGATGTATTTTTATTATTTCACATTATCTCTCTAGATATTTTATAGTACTTATGGCTAAAGTTTTACATAAATATATTAAAGACTGCTCATGCTTAAATGAATTGCCACCCAGGGATTAATCTATAACCTTTATGAGCATGTTTTATTAATATCATCTTATCATTAAATTGAATATTAATATTTAACATTTAATAAGCATAGAATGTATATGTGGGAATGTACTTTATGCCAGTGGGTTTTGAAAATGTAGAAAAGTCACTATGACAGCCTAAGAATAATTAAACATGCTCCCCATAGTATATTAATTACAGTGATATAACTCATTTAAGAGTAGTTCTTGGTAACAATGATCATAAAATTTTTTTTGTCAGCATGCTGAGCATTATGTCCTGAAGGAATAGAAATATTTGGTATACCTTTGAGAATATCTATTGCACTCCTAAATTCTGGAAATATATTTGCCATGTAATAATTCATAATTAAACATGAAACTGATAAAGTGAAGAGAATTAAAAACTATAAATATTATAAAAAATGAATAAATATTTTATTGTATTAATCCCTGGATGGCAATTCATTTAAGTATGAACAGTCTTTAATTTATTGTTCTTATTGGTAAAGCAGTGTAAGTTATCTATAAAGAAGTACTTTTTAAATGACTAAATAATTAAAATATATTTCAATGTTTTTAGCTTCAAAATATCTTGATTATTAAACCTTTTTTCTTTACCACATATATATTTATATATATTTGTATAAATTTATAAATATTTGTCTACATATATTTGTTTGTTTAAATGGTTGATTATGGATGTAAATGTGTTTGATAGGTATCTGAGCAGTAAAAATCCACTCTTTCCTAGATGGCAATTAAAAAAGCTTATGGTAGCATGAATAAACAAACTTTTGTATAGGTTCTATCATGTAGTAGAATACATGAGAATATATTCTCAGGCAGTTCCATCTCCATTTTGGGCAATTCTATAGTCTGATCAAGTTTTCTCTGGATTATTTGTATCATTTTCTTTTTCTTCCCTTTAATATCTCACTTTTATGAAATACAGCTAATATTTAGGGAAATTTCCATAAGATATTTCATTAAGTCTGCCTATTTTGTTACAGTCATTTTGATATCAAAACACGTTAAAAACTTTTATTCATAAAATACATGTATGCATATGTATATGTACATACATAAGTAATTGCTTATGTGATTACTTTTGCAGGGTTGAATGACTTCTTCTGACAATCTCTTTAATTTTATAAATACTGTGGAAATAGCAAAAAGAAAATCTCTACTTTAAGATTGTTCTACTTCTGGAAGTACAGCCAACATTTTCTGAGTAAAGAAGTCTGACATTTTCTGGTGCTTGATAGTGAATCAATTTTGTACTTACTGAACACAGGTACTTTATTCCAAGATTGACATACTTTCTTTTCATCTAGAACAGAGGTCTGGAGCAGTTATGTGTATAGACATAGACTGCATTTCCCAGGCCAGGTGACCAAAACAGGGGTCAAGCCACCAGGCTTAGTGATAAAGCAGGTGGAGTTATCCCCAACACCAGGGGCAGTTCTATCCTGTTCTTTTTGTGCTTCCACACTCTATGAGGCTAATGCCAGAGCATCGCTCACAACCCACTTGCTACTTCACTTAGAAGGTATTTTTCTCCTTCTTGTATCTAGGGAATATATTTTTCTTCATACAAAATTTAAACCTGAATTCAAGAATATTCAGTATCTATTAATAGAGAATATCATTCTTGTACTGCTCTAGTTAATTAATACAATGCCAAGTTTACTTATAGGCACCAAGATCACAGATATTGGATTATTAGGGATAGTTCTCATTCAAATGATCTGTTTTAAAAAAAATCATTGAAATGATCTCTCTGTTCAAGGATCTTCTCTTTCCACTGCCGCTGTCAACTGAAATTTCTCTCCAAAGATACAAAATCCACTGTTCTTAATTTAATTAAGATTAAAGGGAAAAATAAACTAATATAATAATAAATGATGCAAAATAAGTTGATGCAACTTATACCGACATTACTGAGGATCTACTAAGTTCCCAGCAGTGAACTAAGCCTCATAAAAATTTAAGTAAATTAAGTAAGCATGATTGAAGACCTCCTGTGTTCACAGCAGTGAATTCAACTTGATAAAGAACTAACCCAGCCTTTACCCCATGAACTGTAAAACAATAAGATCAGGGTACTGCAACAAAAAAAATACAGACAAAATGGAGAAGTGAGTATCAGAGACCTGTTGCATATGTAAGGAAAAGAGATGACTTACAGGGTTCTGGATTGAATGATTAGGTAGATGTCACTACCCATACTGTGTAGTGTGTAGGTTAGCACTACAGTATGTGTAGTGTGCAGTGTGGCATTACATACTGTGGAGTGCTTAATGGGCGGTGAAACAGTAGAAACAGTGATCCAGGACTCTGCAAAGTTGAAGTTAGTGGTAGGGAAAATTGTAAATTAATTAAATTCTGTGCTGTAGACCTCACCCCATCTTCTCAAATTCAACTATTTTTTTGTGACAAGTCTTTGTCACTTTTCATCTGGACTTTTCAAATGGTCTTCTATTCTCCAGGCTTTATATTACAACCAAAGTGATTATTCCAAAATAGAATCTAATCACTTTTCTCTCTTGCTTAGAACCTTTCACTGGTTTTGTATTGCCCATAGGAACAAGTTTAATCGCTTTACCTTGGTTTACCAGGCCTTGTATGATATGACTATGATTTGTTCTCCCATCTCTTCTATAATTGGCCATTCTGTTGGTACATTCTTGTCATACAGAAATGCTGATATTGATTTCATTAAGAACATCATGCTGTTTTATAATTTCATGTCTTTGTATATGCCATTCCTACTATGTAGGTTGTCTTCACCTCTGCTAGTTCCTTTCCTTTCTAAATCCTTGTAACTGGTAACTCCCACCATCCTTCAAAATGCAGTTCAAATATCCTCCATTATGAAACTTTTTCTGACTTTTCCCAATAGCAATCCATCATCTGTTAACACTAGACCTTACATCTCTACTATGACAATTAGACAAATGTATTTCAATTATTTACATATATACTTCTTTTATTAGAACATGGAATTTCATCTATTTTGGGTTGGGAATAAGCCAAGGATGCAATAATTCATTCATAGCTTTCATGAATTTCAACATGCATTTCTTTCTATCAATTAATAAAGGTGGTCTTAGACTTTCCCAGACTAAATTCCTTTCTCATCAATTTGGCTAAATCATCTTATTACTTGCTCTATACTTGTAAGAAGATGTTATTCTAGATGTCAAACATATACCCCAAGAAAGAGAGAGTAGTATAATGAATTCCATAATCTGGTTTCAATAATTACTAACTAATGGTCAATTGTGTTCCATCTACACTGTCTTATAACTCCACTCTTTTTACTTCCAAATATTTTGAATCAAATCCCAGATATAATAACATTTCATTTGCAAATATCACTGTATGTATTTCTAGAAGGTCAGAACACTTTTAGAAAATATATTGATGATATATTATCACGCCTAATACATTAACGACTTCCTAATGTCAGCTAATAATCAGTATTCAATTTTCCACTATTTTTCATATTTTAAATGGTTTGTTTGAATAAAGGGCCAGTAAAGTCTATATTTTGTGACTGTTTTATATATATATATGTATGTATATATATATATTAGTATAAAACAGTGGTTCTTAATTGGCAGTTTTACCCTGTTAGGGGTATTTTGCAAGTGTCTGGAGACATTTTAGGTTTTTACAACTAAAGAAGGTATACTACTGATATCTGGTATGTGGAGGCCAGGGATACTGAAAAACATCCTATAATGCATAGGATGGCCACCATAATAGAAAATTCTCCTGCCCAAACTATCAACAGAGCAAGGTTGAGAAACCAGGGTCTGTAGGTTTTTTTCCTTCATCTATATTTAATTGCAATTTATTTGTTGAATAAACTGAGTCATTTTTCCTATACAATTTTCCACAGTCGATATTTTGCTGATGATACACCATGGTTTCATTTAACATAATTATCTGTACTTTGTATTTATTAGCAATTGGATGTAGAAGCTTCATCAGATTCAGAATCAATTTCCTTTTTAGCAAAATTACTTACTCTAGTTCATAGATATTGTTGTGTATTTCTATCAGGAGGTACATAGTATGTGGTTCTCTCTCTTTTTTTCATCAAGATGGAAAACTACTGATGGTCAATATCTAAATCCATTAATTCCTTAGGTATTGAAAAATAGTGATATTGCATTTTTGTAATTTCTTCTTTATTTATTGCAAACATCACAGCTTCTTAGAAATATTCATTATGATGTTTGATATGAAAATGACATTGTGCATAATATTTACACATTCTATATGTATTTTCAGAAACATCCTGTACCACCTTGATGAGAAGACAAGCCAATTTTCAATACTTGTGGAGGCTTGGGAGCACTGCAAGCCACTTGCATCAAATGAGACCCTTGAAGAAGCCCTATCAGAAGTGTTGAACAGCATTAATTCTGCTCAGGTTTACTTCAAAGCAGGACTTGATGTGTTCGAGAGTGTCTTGGTTGGAAAGAACTGAGAAAACTCTCAGCATTTTAAAAAGTGTGTTTACAATTCCACAAGCAAAAGCTCTAATCTGACCAGATTTTCTAACATTGAAGTCTTGTTTCCCCCAATGGCTTTTTGACAACTGTAAAGCTATTATTACATTGTATTTTTTAAATGTACATATAAAAAGAGCATTTTGCACATTTAATATTTTTCTTATATCTACATTTCCAAATATATAAAAGCAAGTTACTGAAATAATACTTAAGATTTATCTATTGAAAAGAAATCTGCTGTATTTTTATATATATAAACTATTTTGGGGGAAAGTTGCAAGAAGTTCTGGACAATCTTTGCTCCTATGGGCAGAATACATAGGAACACAAGTTATTCCCTCTGAAAGAGCTATTAATGACCTACTTTCTGTAATAGAGAGTTGATATGGTTTCAGATTAACTTCACTATTAAGTGTTCAATATGAAGAATTCAAGTATTCTGAGTGATTCGTTGACCAAAGTACTTTGAATGTTTCTATTTTATGAAATGAAGTTCCTATTCTTAACACAACTAGATGTAGTAATACACTGGTTATGAAATTGTATTTTTTAAGTATTAATGAAAAAAAGAGCCATAAACATTCCAGGGAAAAATCTCAAGGTAGCTGCACAGAACAATTTAAATGCAAATTTTTCCTAACAACTTATAAAGTGACTAGCTTTGAAATCCCTAATTTGCCTCCGTTGATTTTGTAAGAATTTTAGGAGTGATGTATGACTTAATGAGAGAGAAAAATATTTCATATATTTTTTTCTGTTGGAACCATTGAAACAGAAGCTACTCTAAAATGAAAGCATCTCACAATGCTTTTCTTTCTTGTGAGTTTTCTGAAACTCCTTGCTATAAGGTAGTTTTCACAGAATACTGTATAATATCCCTGAGAAAGTAGCAGAGTTTTTCTTTGAAAACCCACAATATCTTATACAGCATCAAACTCTACTTCTGCCTCTGACAAAAAGGGGTTATTATGAAAGATGTGGTTCTTTTTATCAATAAAAGTTCCTTAATTTTGTGAGGAAACTTTCAAAATTTTTTCTTCTTTATCCTTAATTGTGACTAAGATGGAAATGTAGAAAATACTCATGCTTCTAGTTTTATGCCATGTTACAGGGAGAGTGTCTCTTCCACACTTCAGTTCTCTTGTGGAAAATTAAGCTTTTCATTTGACATTGTCATTGAATGGCACTAGCATCCATTATTCCTGAAACCCTAAAATTCTGCTTATTGGGTGACAGGTTAAACTTTTATTTTACCTTTAGAAATTGATTTGAAAAATGTTCTTCTAATATTAGATAAAGCAATTCCCCTTAGGAAACACATCCTCAGAATATTTCATATAAATTTTCTCTACCTAACTCAGCACTCAAATACACTTCCCCATTACACACTGCCAGGGCAACATTGCAGACAGTCACTATATGTCTAAATCTTCACTTTTTATGGATGACCAGAAACCTAATCTTAGTTTAAAGAAAAGCTAAAGTTGAAGGGAAAGAATTAATCAGTATTGATTAATTGATTTATAAGGGTCAACTGTTCCTACCACAAGTAATGTTATATGCTCAAGGCAAAGTAGAGAATTGAGGCAATTAGCTAGATAATTCAAGCAGAAATCCATTTTCATCTAAATTGCCCATGTGCACATATTTTTACATGAGAAATGAAACTGCCTTACAATTTTATTTTTTTAAACTAATGTATTTGTTTGAAAATATTTGCCATATTGAAGAGTGTGCATAGAAAAGGTCTAAAAGGATCAGGCTCTTACCTGCCTTGACATGAATGCTCTTTCTTTCTCTGAAGAGATTGAGCAGAAAAGAGGTGAGAATACACATACAGGCCCGTGTGGGCCCAATAGTAGAATGCCTTAGCCCTAAGGATCTTAAATATTTAATCAAAGGTCAATATGTTCATTCCAATTCTTTATTTGGAGTTGAATTTAAAACAAAGAAAGGCAAACTATTATCAGTTTGATGGTTTATCATTTTAAAAGAAACTCCTAAAATACATTCACGCTCCCCATAACCTAAACTAGCATTGAGAGCAGAAAATATTTTTCTTCTTCATTTTTGTTTAAAGATTCTGTACCCAGGTAAATGACATTGCAAAATGTTATTCTGTATTCTTTACTTCTAAATTATATGGTATTTGCTATTTGAAAACTGCCGTTGACTATGGACTAATATGTTTGTATTATTCTATTTAAGAGATTATGTGAAGAAGCTACATTATAATTAAAGCAGATGTCCAATCATACTATGATTGGATGCTGCTTTAGATATTTGATTACAACAAACTTCCTAACTAGCAACATTACTGCTATTGTATGGTTACCTCAGGATTCCTGCAAATTTATATTATTTTACTTTTCTTGCCAATTGATTCAAGTAAATAATAGCCTGAGCAAGTTAATAGCAAGTGTTACAGAAATTGGTAGTAGGTTTAAATTGTTGCTGAGACATCGTGTGCCTGGTACGTCTCATAATTCTTCATACATAGAATTTTGTCAAGAAATAATGAATCATAAATGATTAGTCTCCCAAGAAAATGTGGCAAATGTGGACCCATCATTTGTGTTCAGGCAGGAATACTGCAGCTCACACATGGAATACTTTCATTTAAGGAAAAGCATTGATCTTAGTGTCAAAAGGAATCCTAAGAGCCATTCTGATCTAAACCCTAGGATCTTGCCTTCAGCCAAAAAAGAAATGATCACCCCTATGAGATATCGTAACTGAACCCAAAGTGACTTAGAAACTTGGGCATAGTCATGTATTTAGTTAATAGCCAAAGCTGGAACTTAAGCTTCTCTGCTTTCTCATGCAACATATCTTGCTCTCTCCCTGAGGAGACAGGTTTATAAATGATCTTTTCCAGGGAATTCTATGTAACCAACCATTCTATCAGCTGTTGTATGGACTGGAAACACTGCTTTTAATTCAAGAATAGCTCATTCTTTGACTATACCCTACAAGCAAAACTGTCCAAGGGAATCCAGACAAAGGACAAAAAGACTGGGCCCTTGGGGGGAAATGGGAGAAGTATCTACATGACATCCCAAGTCAGGAAGAAGACATTAAGCAAAATGTTTTAAAAGGGGACAAGTTAGCCCAAGATTAATCAATAATCTAAATCAATGTTTCTCAAAATGTGGAATTTGGGGAAAGGCCTTCACCAAGATTTCCAGATGATTCTTATGCACGGTGAAGTTTAAGAATTTCCAATCTACATTAATCCTAACTCCCAAGAAAACATCAGCTGACAAGATATCTGAATAAGTTGAAGGGTCACAATTAAAAGAAAGACTTAAAGGTTTGCTATTAATAGAACCATTAAAAGGAAAAAATAGTGCCTATTTTATCTCTCAGAAAAGAACTCAGTTGCAGCTAATATCTATGCCTGCTCATGCCAGGCACTGTTCTAGACTTTTTCCATGTAGTTTTTTGTTTGTTTGTTTGTTTTTGTCTAATTCAACCCACAACAACTCATTTTAAAAATGAGGAACCTTGGTTGGGAGACTTGTGCAAGAAGTGAGGTATAGTTCTCTGCTGGGCCCTCTGGTGTTCAGTTCTGTGTTCTTCACAGAGTGCTGCAAAAAATATCAGAACAATCTTTTGATTCTAGAAAGTGATGTAATTGAAAATTTTCATGTGTTTCTCCAAAACTGGTCAGACTGTGCATTCTCTCACTCCTTTGGTATAATGAAGGAATTTGAGGAAATAAATTACATCATTTTTGGTAATGGCAGCTCACTCCAACAATGGTATACGTAAGTTTAAAGATATCTGTAAGAGCATTAAAAGTAAGTGCACCATTGTGGAATATCATGACAACTAGATTACAAATAGTAAAAAGATACCAGATACCACAGTGTCACCATTTTCTTCTCTAAATGCCTATGTAATTTCCCTGGTTGGCGGGGGTGGTGGGGGTGGTGGCAGGTGCTGTGATTTAATTTATTTTTTATTCTTTTTATTTTTCTCCTAGCAACCAATAAGTGCTGTGATCTAAAGTTCAATAAGTGCTGTGATCTAAAACCAAAGTTTTACATTATTCTTAAAAACTCAGAATAACTAAATGACTTTTTCATTTAAATAAATATATAGCATATAGCAAGCTTCCCCACTGTAAAGGTGTTACCAAAATAAGATAAATGATGATTTGTTGCCATCATACTAATAATGAACCAGCATCTTTGTCTCAAATGGAAAACTATAATTATTTGCACAATAAATTGATAGACTTAGCCAAAAATGTTCTCATGAGACATTCTGTTATGTATAATTAATTACTAAAAAAATTAAGCTTTCTCTGAGGATAACACATTGTCATCTCATTGGTAATATAGACTAGTTAAATAAATGTGCCTTAGCTGCACATTTGATTAACAGAAAGGAATTATTTTAAACTATGTTGAGTGGAAGAGAAGTGGGCCCACATATTCCAGTAAACACATAAGCAATATAATAGTTTTATTTCAGGACCATGGATGCAATGCAGGAGATAAACAAACAAATAATGTGGTATTTGAGAAAAGAAATATTCTGCCCAGCCACATTAGTGAATTTGTATTTTTTTTATGAGTTTATATTGCCTCATTAGAAGAACCTGCTATTCTGAAAGATCTTAAAAAACCTCAGAGTCCTAAGCACCCCATTAAGTAAAAATACTTTCCAGTTAACTGGGTTTGTTTTATTTAATTAAGAATTTTAATGTTTTATATAATTCAGAATTTTAAGTGACATGAACTTGAAGAAGAGTAGCAAATAAAAATTTTTAAATGTAGCCTTTCTGGTCGTCACCATGTCTACTCAATTTTCTGTTTTTTCTTTCTAGATATACTCTGACATTAGAAATTTTCCCCTGAGAAGTAATTTTAAGATCTATCTTTCTCAATACAAATATATCTGTTAATCAGCCAGAGGTTTAGCTCCATAATGCCTTTCCATTACCTTTCAAAGATGTACACTAAAGTGCCTTTAGCATACGTAAGACTGTCAAGAATCTTGATGTCTTCCTTATTGCAAGATGACATATTTCTTAAAGACATTTATAATCTCATATTCAGATTGGATCTGAATTTACACAGCAAAGGGTTAAATTGAGGCAGTTTCAGGTAGCATTAAAAAAAAGCTGCTTCAAATTTTAATGTTTCTGGTTACATTATTTTGTGTTTGAATTATATAATTGTATCGTTTTCTGTAACCAAAATGGTAATTTTGATATTTTCAGCCAAAATCCAATCATCAAGGCCAAAGAAATGCATGGCTACTCTAATTTCTTATGCAAGATTCCAGTCAAGAATGAACTCATAAGCAGCTGATTCAGTGCCTACATCTACACAAAGCTTTAATGAGTGTGGACAGAGCCTAACAGTATTTCATCTAATTTATTTGATGTTTTAAGCCAATAAGCACTAAGGTAGCTTTTCTCAGAGGGAAACAGATTTTATTTTCCAGGAGCTAATTAATATGCACCACCTCAGTCCCCAAAGGACCACACAGGTGCCTGTACTATGCCATATGTCATGTGCTATATTCCTGCAAGCTCAAGAGATTAATATACAATTATTATGAATTATTATGTTGCAATGAAGTTAATGTCGGTCTTTTGTTCTAATTAAAGTACAAACTTGGCATCTGAATAGAAGCTTAGCTAGAGAAGTGAAGTTAGAGTCCCTATTTTAATGGACTACATATATATTTCAATCAAAATGTGTAATTATTTAATTATCTAGCCTGCTCAGTAATTATGACTCTCCAACTTCTTGAAAGAAACTTTATTCAATATGTTACCATGCAGATGGTCACTATTTGGTGTGTGTTTTATCTTTTTAATTTTTAGATGCTTTTGGTGTATGCAGTAGTATTTTAATAATATTAATAATTTTTTGTTTACTTTTATATCAAGCTGCTTCAAATAGACTACCTTATTTTGAAAGTTAGAATAAAATGCCATTACTCTATAAAGACAATTTAACATATCTGTTTAATGAGAAACAAACACAGATAAAAAATATTTTATTACACCATGCAAGTTGTCTGCAGGAAGCAAAATGCCCAGATGGCTAAGTATAGCTCACATAATTATATCCTGAAGATGTTATAAATAATTCTATTTAGAAGCTGAGATAGGACTCTATTAGGTGATTTAGTGTTTATAATTCAAACAGAAAGGTTTAGTGGTAAATACATCCCATACATCCTAACTTGCTGCTTGGAGAATATAAATAGAAAAGTATTCATAAAAGAAAAAAAAAAACCTTTCAAGAACACTTTGAAGGGCTAATTTGTTTTTATAGACATCTAGGTAATCAGCATGTCATTTTGATAATAGTTTTATATGTGTTTTGAATGTTAATATACACCATGCATTTAATATTTTAATCACGTCTACAATGTAGTAACATTTAGGTTTTAAGATTTTATAAGTAAAATTTCTCAGTGGTATAATATTAAAAAATATCCCAAAATGAAGAATGGAAATGAGCAGGGGAAGATTTATAAATTGATTTGGGATAAAATTTGAAGGATAATTTCTCTAAATAAATTTGTTTTGATTAAAAACAAACATATCTCAAGAAGTGTCCCAATTACTAAATTGCACTGATCTGTTTGTGTTTTGTTCAAAATAATTGCATTATTATCTGTGATTCAAAAATCTTTCCATTGTACAGAGATTTTCATTGTCATCGTCTTTGTTGTAATTGATTTTTAATAGTATTGATTTAGAGACATTTTCCTGTATCTTTCTAATTACTATGACTGGCTGAATGTCTCATTTCTATAATGTGTGGTTGCCTATCAGAATTTTAGTGCTTTCTATATTTAGCTCGTGTGACCTAAATTTATTTTATAACTTTTTATATGTTACTTACATGACTTAAAATGCAGCTTACTTATGCAAGTATGTTGTGATCTTGAATAACAAAAATGGATTGGGATACTACATCCATTAATAATATAAGTGAATATTTTATATTTCAGTTCCTTAAATATTTGCACATAATTGAAAACATGAGTACTATGAAATGAAGGCATCTTTTAAAACACATGTTCTGATCATAAATGCAATGAGTATGTACAGTGAAATGGTGATGTTTAAAATACTCATTTTAAAAATATTAAATACAAGTAAAAATCATTGGTATATTGTATTTTTTATGACAAGATGTGCAATATTTTAAATATGCAAAATGAATTAGTTATTAGTATATTTTATTAGTGGATCATCTTTACATAATGTGTATCACACTCAAACAGAATGTTTTCTTGTTTAAGGAACATTTTTAAAGGTTTTATCATCTTTTTCATCTTTGTCTTCCATTCTTTTCTTGAACATTAATCTCATATTGGGTCATTTAGGTTTGCTCTTTGTGACAAGGTCTAATATCAAGTAACAGCATCTGTATCACCTCCAGGGCCAAAGAGTTTTGTTTCTTCAAATTGGCTCTGAAAAATGCTGTCAGTTATTTTTCACACAGAAAGAGCTCACTATTTGCATGATATAGCAGATATCATCCATTTTATCATTTAGCAAACATTTGCTAAGAGTGTATTCTGGGCCATTAACTGTATTAGATGCTAGAGATACAAAGATAATTAGCACTGTTTTACCTTAGGACTTCATAGTCAAATAGGATATAAGACTTCAGTTTAACTAGTAGTAATTCTCATAGATAGTGCAGTTTATTGTAAACATGTTGACAGAGCAGAGAACTTAAAGGCACCAGGTGCTCAGGCCACATGCCTATCTCACTGGGCCTTCCTTAAGTCTCTTTAAGACTAAAGAACAGCTTTCCTTCTCCAACAGTCCTACTATGCAGTTTTATCAGCTTACCATTGTGTCAGACTCCGGTTGCTGAGTGTCACTTGGATAATATCTTTTAATCTTTACAATAGGCTATGAGTAGGTATCATTCATCCCATTTGATGGATGAGAAAATTAAGAGTTAGGGAGATTAATAACTGTGACAGTTATTATGCTACTATACACATATACCCACATAGATATAAAAACATTAAAAAAATAATTCGGGAGGAAAAATATATATGTATAAAAATTATACTCAGTAAGTAAAATTAAAACAATATACAAAATTATATATTATTTATTAATTTGTAAATATGTATTCAAAATATTAAGTATACCTAATTTAATTCATGATACTAGGATAGGAACAAGTAAGCTTAAGATGGGCTATAGAGTACAACTTTAACTGCAATGCTTCATTTCTTTTATATATACAAAGGAAGTATATGCAATACAACAGTGGGGTGGCAGGTTACTTATTGTTCATGTTTATTTATATCCTCCCTTGTCAATTTAAGTGGTGGGCACGTGTGTGTTTGTTATGTAATTCTCACTACTTTTCTGAATTAAAAATAAAATCATCAAAGTAACATAAAATCCTAATAAGATGGTCTGATTCTGGAGCCCACATTTACAGCCATTAACCTAATTTCTCTTTCTAAATGACACAGTTTCAGAAGCACAATCCCTTTCCTCTCCCTTTCTTTAATTATGCTAATCTTATAAAGGTGCTTTATATGGCATTTTCTGACATTCTAAATGCTTATAGATATAATTTCAATATGGTTATATTTCTGGCCAAATTTGCTCCTCTTCAATTACTCTGTATCTCAGTAAATACACTGGATTCTCCAGTAAAAAGTGAATATCATCTATGATCGTTTTATTTACCTCACTCCCTCCATCCAATCCATCAGCTAGTTGTATTGGCTCTCTGCAAAATATAACTCCAATCTGTACATTTCTCTATTGCCACTGCTACCCCATCCTATTCAATGTCACCATCCTCTCTCCCTCACATTACATTAGCCTTTATGAGTATTTCAAGCAAAATGGATTTTAAAACATGAATATGATCACAAAATTATTGAAACTGCTGGAGTAACAAAAAGGGTGAAACTGCTGTTTCTCAGAGAAATGGCTACTGACCTTAGGGCTGGAGGAAGAAAGGAAGAGGCATAAAGGAAGAAATCTGCAATAACCTAGGAGCTGACATTCTACTGAAACTCTTGGAAACTATTGCTCCTGCTGGTGGACCCACTGTACACAAGGCTTAAAGAACCACCACCGTTTTGATTAGAAGTCTGGAGTCTCCACTCCTTCAGACTCCCCTACCAGAAGTAGGGAAAACAAAACAAAACAAAAACTACACTTTTTTCTCTACACTTTTTTGCCTTTTAATTTCTTGCAAGTGCCTCCTGTTGGCAGATCCAACTGGAATCCAGCTGGCATGAGAGTCTACGAACTGTATGTTCATGTTCCCAGCCCTGGCATGATGGGGGAGGATGTATGTGGTGGCGTGGGGCTGAGCATGGTTACCACAATCTCCAAATGGGTCTCACTTTTACTATGAATGAATGAATGAATGAATGAGCATACCTAACTCTTATATGCACATATATCAAGACCTCTTGCATTTTTTTCTCTGATTCTATGTAGATCACTTAACCATATGATATATAATAAAAAAATAGCTTTAAATGGCTTTGGTGTAATTTTCCACACCACTTTCTAGCGAAAGAAACAACTAGCTTCAATGCAGAGCTAAGAGAGCAAAAGACACATAAATACATAGCCTTAAGTCTTAGAATGGAGATCTATGCAAGGTGACATAAGAGCAGAGTAAATACAACTAAATAATGTAGAAGCCAAGAAAGGTTTCTCAGAGGCAAAAGTATTTGAATTGAGCCTGAAGAGTGAATTGAAGTTCTTCAAGGGGAAAAGGAGAAGAATGGCATTCCAGAATAAAAGGTACAGCATATGTAAGTCACACAGGATAGTCAGGGTAGGACATTCCCATAGTTTTCTGCTTTGAAATTTGTTTCTTTTTTCTCAGCCTCAGCAAAGATTGTGACTTTTTTGGTTTTTTGTGGGAAGAAGAAGCTCCAGACTGCTTATCTTTTATTATAGTTAGACACTACTTGATATTATAAGTGATAATATAAAATATTTAAGATAACTATTAATAACTTACAGATAGAACATACTGAACAGACTTTCATCATAATGTAAAAGTCACAGCATTGGTGGTTTCCCAACATTTTCAGGATAAAACCCATGTGCCTTAGGATGATTCCAACACCTTTCATATCTGATTCCCACTTTTCCCTCTCCTCAGTGCTTACTTATCTTTTGCCTTCCCTCATAATTAGACTTTTTTCAGATTTGCCAACTATTCAGATGTTCTTCCTTCACCTCCCACTAAAGCCCCATTCATTCCTTGACAATCTGGATTGTGCTCTCAATATTCCATCCAATGCAATTTAAATAATTGCAATATAACCTCTCTAAGCAAGGTAAATTATAATTTATTGTCCAAATTAGGACAAGTTTTCAAAGTAAAAGGAAGCATTATTAATAATTATTCTGGGAAATCAGGAGTCAATATTATCCTGGCTCAGGAAATATGGTCACCCTTTTATCTCTAAGGTACTAAGTGTAATGAATATATTTCAATTCTCACCTCACATTATTTCAATTATATTCAAGTCTTTTGACATTTCTACTTCCTTAAAATAATATTTTCTCTTGGACTCCATTGAATAGCATTAATTAGCCTAGTTTTTCTCACCTGAAGTGCTTATTGAACTGGCATAGTTTGGATGCCTAGAGGCAGCTAAGAACAAAGGAAACGGGCAGCACAGTTTACTGTGACCTGCATGGCTCAGTGACATTGTGAGAAGACACATAACTTAAAGCTGCTCCCAGGGAGGCAGGGAGAGAGTGGAGTATGCTACAAAGGTTATGACTCATGGAATGGCAGTCAGACACCAGAGGGAACAAGAGAATACAGGATCCTGAAAATAAAACAAAACAAACTAAAACACTAAATCCTTCTAATTAGAAATCGACAGGCACAAAAATTAAAGAAGACACATGCAGAGAAAAAGTTTGAGAGGCTCCCAGAATCTTTAGCTGGGCAGATTGGTGAAGGCATTTTCTCATTGAATCCAGTCCATAAGGAGTGGGAAGGGTAACTACTTCTTCAAACCAATGCAAAGCTACAACGAAAAAGAAGAGTCAGGGAAATATGACTTAAACAGAGGAATAAAACAAATCTCTAGTAATTGACCCTAAAAGAACAGATATCCATGAATTACCTGACAAGGAATTTAAAATATTTGTTTTAAAGAAGCTCAGTGAGTTACAACAGAACACATACAGACAACTAAACAAAATCAGGAAAATGATACATGAACAAAGGGAAAATACCAAAAAAGGTACAGAACATATAAAAAAGACGAAAAAAAATTCTAGAGCTGAAGAGTGTAATAGCTGAATGGAAAAATTTACTAGAGGGGTTCAATAGCAGTCTGGAGGACAAAACTGTCACTTGGGCAGTGTTCTGAAAGGCTGGCACTCTTCTCCCTATGAGAGAAACAACAGATTCTGCACCTTCCCCTAATCTTAGAGATATGCTGGCTGCAACAAATCTCTTGCCCCTTTCCTTTGTTCGTGGTTTCCCTGAGACATCAAAACTATGCTGATGCCATCTGTGTTCTATGTGAGGTGAGATAGAAACCAATCCCTCAAGCAGCATCCGGAGGGGGTGAGTGTATTGGATACACACTCCACCTTCTCCCTTGCCCTAAGATAAAGTTGGAACCAAATAAATCATTCTTAGTACTGAGCAATGCCACTAGGGGAAGGGCTGACGTGGATAAAGTGAAATTGCTCTTATCTGTTTCTTTATGGCCATTTCTTTATAGCTCTTCTCTATTTTGTGCTCTTCTGCAGTACTGCAACTTCTTTTAGACTCTGGACTTATTTTAAAAATATTTTGGTCTGTGTATCATGGCTGACATCACTCCCAAAGTTGTTTACCATTTTTTGAAAATCAATGTAGTTCATTATGTTAGCAGACCAGAAATGAAAAGCATTATACCTATAGAAAAAAGTGAACCTTGGACTGCATCTCACACCTTGTTCAAAAATTAAGTTAAATGGATCATAGACTTGAATATAAGAGCAGTAACTATAAAAGATATAGATGAAACATACTAAAAATCTTTACTCCTTAATCCATAGGCTGCAGAATAGAAATTGTGTTAGAAGGCATGGAAACAACATTCATTTCCTTGTATATCTCCTTCAGGTCTCTTGCGTGA